ACAATGATGCTGTATTCTTCGAGGGTTTTAAAGTTTTTGGCAATGTGACAAACACAATGTGACCAACATCTTCCAAGGAAGAAGCCTAGAAGTACACTGTGGTCTGATTATTTAAATAATTACTATATGCACTAACCATACTTAAAGCGTGGTTTGCTGAAAAAAGATTTCACTCAATTGAGAGAGTAAAGTAGAAAAGCAAACGCTAACTTTGAAGGTCTCGATACGAACTACTGCAATGTTTCTTTCGGGAACAAGAACTTATGTTATTCTTAGAGTTGGTCACATAAATTCAACGCCACTTTAATATCATATTGAGTCGAATTTTAAACGCGAATACATATTGATCAAGAGCTAGGAGCAATTGACCTCATCAATAGATACACTTAATGTTATCATCGATAAATTCCGAATAGACCTCTACAGGAAGCTGTAGCTTTCTATGAGCCTAGAAAAGAACAAACAAAGAAAGTGGATCACACTTTACATAGGAGTTCAGAGCAACTGTCGGTATTGGGAAATTTTCTTGTGGAAACGATTGTATGAAGTTAGTAACTCCTACAACATAAACTTATTCACGCTGACGATTCCATAACGAACTGCAGTATACCAGCTGTAGTTTTTATAATATTTTAAGAACTCTACTTCAGGCTTGGTTTTTTCTCGACTAATGTTCCGTCGACATATTCCATGTGGAGGTGGTAGATGTTAAACGATCTTGTAGTGTATTAAAATACAAAGCTGAAGTTCCCGGAGGCGGGAAACAGACGAGAAAACCAGTGTACCTAATAGAGTCCCGGCTCTAAATATCGCCTAATCGGACGCGGCAAGGGAAAACTAACTACTTGATTTGTCTGCCCCAAAGAGTCCTCACTGTAGCTTCATTTCCATTTGGCACAACAAAACTCGAAGATGTCTCACAAGTACAAAATCTGAGCGTAGATTATGATCATCAATTTTTTTCTTTCTTATTCAACTCGCATTGGCGTGATTACACAATGCTTATGCAATAAAAACTGTCAAGTCATAAAATAAAATTTATTTTACTCACTCTCAACTACCAGCAAATAAATGAGGCGACAAGTTGCAAAAAATTGTTAGTTATCTAAGCGTGTTGCAGCGGCAACACGTCTCCCTTTTCTCCATTGTTCGTAACTGCTGAGCGCTAAAGATGACACAACTTTTAAGCACTGGGATGGTTTAAAAGCAAAGACGAGTGAAGTTTCTTTTTTTGCTTTTAGAAAAAAGGTGGCAAATAGCAATGTGAGATTACCCCCTCAAAATATATTGCATCTGCTAGGTTCAGAGCCCTTTTTTTAGTATTCTCTCGAGATGCGCACATACTTGTCGGTTTGTACCTATTGTTTTGTAGTATTCTTTTCGAAAAAACCTAGTTTTTGTGACAAAGCTCGTGAGATGCTTCCCAAAACCTTAACATAGCACTTTGCTACTCTTTGGTGGTTAGTAGTAACATTTCAACCTTTAATTAAAAGTCCCAGAACATTTTTAATGAGAAAAACTGTCAATAAAGACCATTCGAAGGCAATTTAACACCATGGGAACAATTCAATACCGAAGAATAAGCTCGAATTGAAAATCAGCATTGATGATCTAAACAGCAACTACAACTAGGTTTTTAAAGAAGATATACATCCAGCTGCATGGCTCAGCGAAAGACTGTGTGAACAAGAAGTAAGTGTCAAAAAACGCAACTTTTATTGCTCGACCTCGATCACATACTTGTAGGATACTAATTGACTTTCGCACTTTTAACCTGAGGATATTGTTACACAATTTGAGCAACGATGGCAGTGCGATGAAGCCTCCATTCACTGCGATGTTTAGAAGGTTTTGAAGTTAACGTAAATTTTTATAAAAAAAGTTTAATTTAGGGAAGGTTTTCTCCTAAATCTACTAAACGTTGACACCGAAATCCCAAAGGCGATGGATTGTCTTACGTTAGTCGAAAACTGATTAGCAATGTGTCTTAACAGCAATTACATATAGCTTCCGAACCCGATTAATTATCGACTGAAATATATTGATGAAAAGAACTCTATTATTGAATGTACGGAAAATGTACATGCTACCCGAGAATTATAGACTTACATATGTATATGACTTGCTGACTTTAAAGGCGATCTCGATCACCCAAAAATGAGTAGTGTTATGCCGCCATATGCAAATTTTGGAAAACAGTTCCGAGAGAACGATTCTCCGACGTGTGATCTTGTTTACTGCCATCATGATTATAATAATTCAAGCATCTCATTACAGGTAAAAAGTTTTCAAATTTGTAACTTTTCATCTCAATTGTTGTCGCATCCAAGGTCAAAGCTTACAGAGAATTAAAGTATCCTCTCTAGTAGAACATAAATAACATGTTAGACTCTCTCAATATACATATCTACCTTACCATATATAATATAAGCACGTAAAATAAGAACATTCAACATAACTTCTTTTAAGATATTCGAAAGAAAGGTACTTCGAAAGATTCTGGAATATTTGTTTGCTGACAACAGTTAGTATTGCAAAGTGAGAATTTTGTAGAAACTTAATGAAGATCCAGCTAAATATCAGTGTCTACCAAGGCAAACTTAATTCTATTGGGTTTTTCGAATATCCAAATGAATAGCCACCTTGTACGATATGGTGGCTCCACCATTGCAGCGCTAGCTAATAAAAGGAGATCTACTGAGCGATTCCGTCCGTCTTTGCTTAACAGCTCTATGAGTTCAATGTAATTAAAGATTTTCTTGCGATAATAATTGATCATGCATAGCAAAAAAGTTGAAAGTATAAATGATGAGCTAAGCGTGATAGAATCTCCATTTATTTGCAAGGTCTTAGGTGTTTTAATGGTTTTACTTTTCTTCATATTTAATTATACAATGATGAATATATGATTTATGATAATTAACTGAATGTAAACTTTATTTATGTAATCAAATTGCATTATCAATTAGCTTTGCAACTGAAGTTATATATATATATATATATATATATATATTATTTTACACTAATGACATTGTGAAGTTCTATATTGACTTAGTATAAATAAGTTAAACCTACTGACCTCAAGTGGTGTAAATGACAAAGAAACAAGAAAAATCATTAACTTTGGTTGGACCGATACTAGAATACCCTTCGCAAATAAAATAGGTTCCTTACAAAAACTTGATTTTGATCGGTTAGTTCCATGCCGAATTTGGTAAAGACATCTCCTTAAATGAAAGAGCTTTCCATATAAGTACTTGATTGCGATCGTTTAGTTTGTACGACAGTAATGTACTATAGTGGTCTGATATCGGCGGTTCCCACAAATGAGCTGCTCCTTGGGGAGAAAAGGATGTGTGCAAATCTTCAGATCGATAGTAATATATACAAACAGACAGAGGAACGAATAGATAGACATGGCTAAATCGAATCAGCTCGATCATTTACATATATGTATATTTAATAGGGTCTCCGACGATTCCTTCTGGGTGTTCCCTCAGAAAATTTGAATTTGAAAAAGTCTTCGATATCGGAAGTGTATAATGAATAACGTATATCAATTTCTTTTAAAAAATGTTCATAAATAAATATGTATACATACATAGTTATGGAAAATAAAATATGTCGTTCAACAGGAAACGCCTTCTGTCGACAATTCATAACATTTTATTTGAGCGATATACAAATGCAGTCAAGCTTTCTCAAGGCTTAGCTTTTATGTTTAACGAAAAATGAATATAGCTAATAACTATTATCGGTATTTTGGTATTATTTTAAGTGGGCTTTAGTAGCAAGTTTATATATTACTTCGGTTAGTTAGGTGAAAGGTGATTTGCTTTTGTTTTTGTTCTTGATTTTTCGACTTTTGAATGTTTCCGGGAGCTATATTGCTGATGAGCAGGCCGACCAGAAAACTACTAAAAGTCTGATAACTCACTTAATAAATGCGTCAGAAACATTAAATGTTACATCTAAGATGGCATGAAAGGGCTTCATATGTTAGGAGCCGGTATCAAAATTGAACAATGGGCTTGGCGCCGTCCACCTTAAGTGAAATCCCATATCTCATGATCTCCTCAACCAGTATCAACCAAATTTGGTACTTGACATTATCTTAACATTCGTATGTATTTTCTAATGACTATGTACCCTAGGGTCATAATTGCACACAATTTGGCCAATACATTCTCTAGCCGCCATATACCTAACATAAAGGCTTCAAACTGCTAGTTGACTTTATACGATATATATCGGTAAACCTGCGAGATTTCTATGTAATAATATGTTTTTCTGATAGTAATACCAAAATTAGATCAGATCGGGTTAATACTACCGTTAGCCCTATATACCCAATATAAGGATTTCCAACTTCAGTTGCCTCTATACCGTATATATCGATCAATCGGTAAGATAATATATTAAAATTAAGCGAGCGTATAATGTTAGTTATATATATATAGTTTAATGCAGAAAATGAGTAAAATTTGTCAATGAATACGCCAGCTACCATTAATATTATATTTTCGTTATTTTAACAGACTTTGTGTCGCATATGTCAATCAGGGTGTGTGTTATCTTTATACAGTTTCATAAACATAATGTGATTTAGCACTAAAGTTAAATGAAACTGGTCTAGATCGAAGACCGTGGGATAAGTGCTAATATATAGGTATAAAGACTTCCGTTTCACTAGTCGGTTTTGTCCTCATATATTCAATATATTAAATTTAGTTTTTAGTTTGGTTGAGTTTATGTCACATATATCTCTTTTGAGTTAGCTAGGTTGATTTTGGTAACAACTCATATCAGGGATGAATCAAGATATAGTAAAGAGGCTAAATGAGTCTAGGACCTATATAATAATTTAAGTTACAAATTATGAATTCATTCACAATTTTTTCGTATAATGAATATTGAATTATTTCGCAACATTGTAGTCAAAGTTATGTGGGTCTGGCTGTGCTTTTCTAGGAGAGAAAAATTATTGTAGACAAAATGTGTTTTTGAAATAAAACACTTATTTATTTAAATTAGTCATGGCTTTTGCTGTATCACGGCAAAATTTGTATATTGTGCAGAATATAAACCTATGTTTATACAATACATACATGCATATATCCAAATATTCATATAGTTTGCATTATTATACAAAATATTTAATAGAACCTCAAATGCAGTCCATACGAGAATAGTTGTTGTGTCTCCAGCAAAGTAGTCTTCCTGGTTTCTGGCATAGTAAAAGCAAATATTAGGCAAGCCACACACATTAGCACCCCCGTGACAAGGCAATAGACGAACACATTGTCCGGCGAGAAGGTGAATGTACATACAATGATCAGATCCACCATATATTGTACAAGAACGGTAAATGCTATGAAATAACGCTTCAGACGTAACGGGAATGCCTCACCCATATAAACCGTTGTGCTAGGCGCAAAGATACCACCAAAAAGTTGCGCAATCATCAGTAAAGCGCATGCAGTCGCCATTTTCGTAGAATTTATAAGAGCTATAGTATCATTGAAGATAATACCAACACCGATCGTCATACCAGCCGCACATAATAGTGAAAACAAGCTCACCGCTTTGCGGCCAATAGCTTCGATTATCGAAAATGTGACCAACACACCTAAGGCGCTTAGCAAACCGTAAAGAGTAGGTGGCCAATTGATTACAGAGCCAGCGGTGCTTACACCTTCGGACCATTGGAAAGTTTCCACAATCGGTAGTGCGACGATAAACGAAAGCATACAACGATAAGGTAAAATTCTCAGTAGTGGGCCCAAACTCTGCATAAAACACTGCCCCAGCGACATGGACTCATTCATGGTGACATATTCCTTGAGCTTGTTAAATATCACTTGTTTCGCATTACTCATAACGGGTGGACGATAGAGCCGTACAATGCAATTGAGAGCTTCCGGTTCATCGCCGTGGCGCAAATGCAAAACCGGCGAGTCGATTGAAGTGAATGTAAACATCAACGCGATTACACCGAAAACTATGCAAAATATGCCTTGTAGACAATAGGGATTGAAATCCACTTCACTACTCCAGTAGCCAGTGTAGAGCATTTGCACATACGCACCACAGGCTAAGCCAATTTGCTCCAGGCACAAGCAGTAACCGCGAGAATGCTCCGATGCGATTTCACTGGCATGTATGATGAACGAAACGGTGGTGAGACCGATGGCGATGCCATTTAAATAGCGTGCGGCGATGAGTGCATTCGTATTATTACAAGCGGATATTGTAACGATGGCCGAGACAATCACCAATAATATGGGCGAGAACTGTGTGAGAGCGTAATAAGAAACAGGTGAACATTATCTCACAAGCGCATCTGTACATCACTCATACTCACTATAAATAACCTTCGGCGCTTCCAGTTGATAAGCAATGGCGCAAGTATGCAACCGATCGCCACACCAATAAACCAGCAGTAATAAAAATGCAAACTGTAGACGATATAGCTCCAGCCAACGCTGACGGCTAAATGGAAACCGCCAGTTATGAAAATGAAAACATCTGTAAGTATCGTTTGAAATGTCTTCGGTAATGAATCCAGCATTGAAATTGCAATAACTGACCTGAAACCAATGCGATCGTCTGTATTCCATCTATCCAGAAGCGACTTTTATTAATATAAGTGGGATTTATTGTGGCCATTGTAAATACGTGACGTGCAAAAAACACTGAAATCACTATTGTTGGTTGTTCTGCATCCTAAGAGGTCTTCGAAAGTACTAAATGTGCAAACTTTTATTGCCGTATCAGTCTACTGCCATTTATAACCTACTTTTCTGTTTAACAACGAAGAGGAGATACACAATTCAAGTCGAATTTGATAATATTATCATATCACTCATTGTCATATGGATTAATAATATTAGACCCAGCGCGAAAGGAGGTAAATAGAGCTCGGAACGGAATTCAGTTGATTCAGCGAAGTGTGTCCATACATCCGATATTTTGCTAAACCGTCAAGTTAAATAAAACTTCGTTGACATAATGAAACTTTATGTAAAAAAGTATATATTGTATAATATATAAGACTCTACAGATCTGTATTAAATCACGAGATTTGCTTTTGTCTCAGTTCATGTCGGATCTATGCATACCAACGTGTTTTAATATCTACTAAGCCCTCGCTTACCGCTTATGATCTCCTAACGAAATTCGAAAACGAAGCGGGAATGCTTTCCAACATCATCATTATATCTTACACCCACCTCGGCTGTTGGAACCTTAATTTTATGAAGATAATTTCAGCCCACTCACCACAAGTAGGGAACTAAGATAACTGTATGGAGAGATTTATAGAAATAGAGTAACTCCGGAACTTTAAAGATTATATGCCGGCGACAGTCACCTCGACGGCATAAGTAGGTGGAGAAAGTCCACACACTGTGTTTCAATATAAATCAATTATGGAGAATATTTGCACTTCTCTTTATATTATAACTCTCTTCGATTATGTTAATTGTTGGTTTTATTTGCTATTCTCAATTGAACCAATAAATAAAATATAGTGATATCAAAGCACTTAAAATTTAACCGTAGGGAAAGAGATTTTTCTAGTTGATGTAGAACATAGATATTAAGAAAAAAGTAATTCTAAAGTGTTCGAAGAGTAAAAATTGGGAATGTGTATAAAAAAATCGGTTTGGTTTGCATTTTGGTCGGTTTTAGTTAATTTAATTTTTTTCTTTAAAAAACTAAGCTGTCTATATTTTTTCTCAGAAAAGGTTTCTACATTTATCAACTGCAAAGCATTCAGTTTAATGATAAATAACGGCAAAACTGATAAAACCAAACGTTATGGCCATTTACAACAAACTTACATTCATACTCGTGTATACCATATAACCATGTGCGCTCAGAGAATATTCCCTATTAGAACGAAACGTCGGAAACCCTATAATATATATATAAATGAACAATATGACATGTTGAGTCGATTGAGCCATGTACGTCTATCCGTCTGTTTGTATATACGAGTACGTCACGAATTAGTCTCTCAGTTCTTAAGATATCGACCTGAAGTATTGCACACGTATTTTCGTCTCCAAGAGGCTGCTCATTTGTCGGAACTGCCGATTTTAGACAACTGTAGTATAATATATATTGTTTGAGAGTATGTTCAATGATGACATTTTTTTTCTCAGTAATTAGTAATGAGAAAATACGAGTAACTAAAAATTATAAATTAAATTATGATAATATAATAATAAAATGCGTATGATAACGATTCTTATCAGTATTGACGTGTTTGTATGCCTTTATGCTTCTCTATGACTAATTATAGTCAAGCATTTTCAGAAAAATATTATGAACCTCTAAAATATGACGTAACACATACACGAACAGTACACATATATATAAAACACATCTATGTTAGGCATTTATAAATAATCCACACACAAACACTAGAAGGGGATTCCCTCGAAGAAAGAAGCCACACAAGTTTATTTAGATAAATAATTTTTGGTTGCACTGTACTTAAAAATAAAATATGTAAAGTAAATTATCAATTCCTTATAATTTTTTAAGTTTTTATTACAAAGTCATTATTTAACAAAATTGCCAAATGACTTCAAAACAGTTTGAAATCAATCAATATATAAATAAATTTAAATTAAAAATTACATAGGTAAACTAGTGAAAGTATATCCATTCACGGGCTTGAATTTAAATATAAGCGCCTCCTCCTCCACATAAGGTTGCCACTAACATTAAATTTATTAATTTATATTTAGAAGAAAACTATTTTTTACCATTGACCTCTCCCCGTGGAAGTAATTTAAAAAATATTGTTGGGGCCTAAGGGAATTGCTACCTGTCTTGAATTAAAAATGTTTTTTTTTAAGTTAAAAGCTGCAAAAGTAAGTTTATACTCGTATGATGGTCGCTAACACAATTGTTTACATTTTTCTAATTGTGGGATTGGCCTTGCTGTTGCGCCTCTTCTTCTCCTACATCTAGTCATACATGCTAATGTTATGCCATAAATGGATCTCTCGACAAGTTGTATTCGCTTATAAATGTCTGCTGGATTTTATGAAAAGCATCTTCATGTGGGTGAGACGCCACCATACATATGTACAAGTATATAAAAAGCATTTTCTAAAAATCTAATTTTTCTGTACTCAGCGACACTTTCAATAGCTTACGATTATAGTATGCGAATTCTTATAAAAGTCTGAATTTAATAATCATTGCAAGTGTTGAAGTTAAACATAGGAAACTACCTAACCAATTTCCCTCAAATGCGCATGATATTATTTTGGCTTTCTTGTGTTATGATGTGAAAATGAGCAAAATCGGGCTACAACCACGCCTATCTCCCATATATCACAATTTTTAATTATATACGAATCCCTCACTTAACATTATATAAATCGATGCCAATCACATTATCGAAATACAATTTTACATACAAAGTATATTTAAGGTATGCGATCTCAGGTCCAAAAACAGTCGAAATCGGGTAATAACTTTTCAAGTTCCCAGATACTAATATCAATTAACAAAATACTGAATATGACTGTAATCCTTTCACGCTTTCATCGATTAATGAATTTTTATACATTCGCAACATGTTGCTACAGAGTATAATAGTTTTGTTCACTTAGGGTTATATGCATATATATAAATAATCAGAATGACGAGATAAGTTGATATCCGGATGACTGTCTGTCCGTCCGTCTATCCGTCTGTCCGTGCAAACTGTAACTTGAGTAAAAATTGAGATATCGTAATAAAACTTGGTACACGTATTTCTTGGCAAAAATGTGAGGACGAGTTCGTAGATGGGCGTAATCGCACCGCTCCTACGCCCACAAAAAGCCATTAAACGAAAACATATAAACAGCCATAACTAAGCACTGAATTTAGATATAGAACTGTAGCAAAGAGCACCTGTGGGCTAAAAATTTTGAAAAAAAGGGCGCGGCCTCGTCCTCTAAAAATGAAACACACCTGCAAAGAAGACTTACGGAACCTCATAACAAGAAATCAAAGCAGTGCAGAAACTAGAAAACCCTAGGATGAATTACATCCATTAAAGGATAAAAAGTTTAAGCAATTATTTTAACTGCTTGGTAAGAGTATTATTATTACATATTAGTATGGTATTAATTAAGTATGCCTAGATTATGTAAAAGGTTGATTGTACTAAGTCGTCTAGAAAATGGAAGACGAATGCAAATTCTTCGGGCAAGTGCTGTTTATAGAAATAATGAGCAAACACATGATGAAAGTCGCGCTAATCGCAAACGAGGTGCCAAAATACGTGCGCACTGCTGAACAGATTCTATATATTGTTCAGCACAGACTAGGCGTCAAAAATATGTCAAATTTATGAAAGTTAAATTTCGACGCTATAGCTCAAGGTCACCCGAATGCAGCATCCGCCTCCTTGTTAATGCAAAAATTTCTAACTAAAGATGGAAGTTACAAGTTTTGTACAACGTGCAAAAATGCGATTGCTAAAAATAATACTCCAAAAATATGTTTAGCTAATAGTCTAAACTTTCCAGAAATACCAGATTGCTTTGAAGATCTTACCCCAACTAAAGAGCGGCTGATAATGCCTAGAATTGGGTTGTCGAGGGCAGAGTTAACTGATACCATACGCCCCTCAAAGGTTATGAAAGTTTTGCAATTCTTAGTAAACACCCTTCTGTATCGCGAGCACAATATACGAATTAGACAGAACTGGATATCAGTTTTCAATAACCAACAATAAGTTCCTTTTTTTAAATCTGTCGAAAATAGATAGAAGCTAGATTGGTTTAATCTCTTTATGCCGAACAGATTTCCCATAACAACCGAAGTAATAATATTCCCATAGCACCTGTATCTTCAGAACTGAACCCAGGCGGTCAAGAGACTCTTCTGGAAAATATTCCTGTAGAAAACTTGGACTATAACCATTTAGTTATAGTGCTAAGTGAAAGGCAAAGACCAATTGACATAATTCAGGATAATAATTAAGAAGAACTTCCATTTGGAACAATATAAGTTGGGCAGAAACGTACATGCTCTGAAACATATAGTAAGATAATATTGTCTGAAATTCGCCGCTTTCACAGGAGAGCGTGTACTATTCCAAAGTTGTTTTACAATTATAAAAAATTAGAATTGCTGCAAATTAGGAATAGTAAAAGCTTTTGCCTTCTAAAGTTTTCAGGTCGCAACCGAGTTACGGCCCAAAATATTTAAAACGAAACCTTTGTTTAAAATTTGATTCAACACGATGCTGGTTACAAGGTTTTAAAAGGCGTTAAATCCACGATTCGCAAATTTGGGCTTCCAACTTTCTTCATGACTCATCACAGTGGATTGAGCTTTTTTCATTCTATCAGCTTTACTGTTCATTCTAAAGTTATTTCGGAAGAGGAAGCCAAGAGCTTAACAACCCAAAAAGGTATCGTCTAATTCGGTCAGATGCAAATCCTTAAGCTTTTTAAAGAAAATGGTGGCATTTTTGAAGAGCATTTTGTTGAAAACTTTTATATACATGGCATGTATTGGCTTAATAATGCTTCCAGGATCAACAGTCAAGATCTTCAGTAATTCCCTGATATCATTAGTTTCAATGACAAAAGCATAACCACAGTCGATCTTGTACAAGAGAAATGAGAGAACAACAGTTTTGTCATTTTGGTATACCATATCCACATCTGCCTTTAACGCAAATTTTGTTACCTCTCACAGGAACAATTCAAAAATCCAAAAGGCATAAGGGAAATTTTTCCAAATTTCAAAACGTTTCAAATTCAAATATTTCTAATTTAAATGATTTTGAACATTTCCTGTTTGA